AAAACAGCCTCATAATTCCAGCTGGTTATATAACTGCAAAGGAGTGTTGACATTTGTCAGCATATGTAGTGCTAGCCATTCACTATCATACTACTTCAACAGCACCACCCAGAAGACAGCGAGGTGCTTTTACTATACTTCCTTTAGTTATGGCACTGTACTCTCTAGATTCCAAAGATAGCGTTTCCAACAACTACTATAACATTCTGACTGTCTGCGCTCACTAAAGCTTATCAAGACAATAGAACAAAAACAAGGTCTCACAGAACACTATGAGAGTCCATGTGCATTCCACTATAGCCTTATGGAGTTCATAGTTGATAGTAAACAGATTTGTTTTGTAATTATTATCAAACATAAAATATATCTCTCAAATCAAAGTTAAAATTGTATATGTTTATAATATTTCATTTTTAATGCAGAACAAAACATAACAAAAATGTGATAAATATTTCAATCGTAAAGAAAGACTGGACGTCTTCAAGTGCCCAAGTGTAAGACAACTCAGTTTTATGAAACTAGTATATCAAATAAATCTGCCATGAGTCACAAAATGGAAAGTAACTGAATGAAACTTCCTAAGAATTTGTATGTGTTCCAAAAATAATTCACCATTATTTATTTTGACAATTGTATAATACCATAATATAGTGCACTATAACCATTCTATTCAATATACGTTTTTAACGACTTATGGCTGGTCTGAATTTAAAAAACAATAGGTAATCACACTTCACCAAAATGATGTTCTAGGATCCATACTGTCTTCGGAATAACTTCCTCCAGTTTCAGTTATGCTCTGTTTGATGGTATGATCACGTACAATTGCCTTATCACAATTTCCAGACATCTTAAGAAACTTTCCACGGAACTTACATTGCAGGTGATATCTATTCCAAAATCATGTTTCAGAATAGCATAGGAACAAAAATCTATTGGAGCTGTAGCAGGTATGCGGTGGTATAGAATTGCTGTGATTTAGTTTCTTCAGCCATCTTTCTCACGGAAACAACCGTTGATTTGGATGGAATTTTGTGAAACTTTGGCTTGTGCGTCTTGATCAATCTTAAATCCTTGTTCATTAATTTGTTAATAGTACCAGGAGATATGCCCAACTTCATTTCAAAGCTTTTTGGGGTCAGACAGAAGATTCTTACTTGTAATTATAGCCTTAATTTCCAGTTTATAGCATTATTCCTGATTAGCTTCAAGAGTGGTTTCGGAGGTCGTTTCTAGCTTAATTTGATTTTTTGTTAAAAGTTTCAGCTTCCATGGAGAACATTGAAAGCTCCCTAATTTGAATAATTGTCATCCTTTGGATCGACAGCAGTTAACAATATCGCTATAAGATTATCCTTTCTTCGAAAGGAATGTGAAATATGCTCATATATATGTGATATATGCAAGTCCATCTTTGACGTCATTACACTGTTGATTGCTCAGAAATTCGGTGTGAACCAGATATATATATATACATGTTAAACATGCCACTCATGGCTCGTATCTGCATCCTCACGTTAATGTATTAGCTTATGGAAATCGTTTTTATAAAGTGGGATCAACACACTATATACTGACTTAAATAATAATACTTTTATTTCAAACAAGTTTTCCATCTTTTATATACTGCAATAGTAAAATTTCATCTGCTTTTAATAAATTCTGACACTTGGGGAATAAAATACTTTTGTTAATGAAGCAAAGAACTCATTGGGCAAAGAAATGTAATCAATGTCACTTTCGACTACTGAAGTTGCTATTGCGTTCCTAATAATTATTTCGTTACACGGAAGTGGGAAAGAAAGGTTTGAAAAGCTCCTTTTTTACATGCGCTGAGAGTTATGTTATTTTCTATAAAACATTTAAAACAGTAATAAAAAAGCCCGAATATCATCAATTTGGTAACATATCAAGTTTCCAAGATACAATCTAAACAATACTGTATTCTTTATTTGTGCGTGTGTATAAAAACAAAACAAAAAAAAACTATTGTAATTATGGTTAGGTTTACGGAGCGATTATCTATTTTTGGAGAATAATTGAGCAAATATTTCTTTGTTTGGTTTCGTTGTAATATCGGACTTAACATTTAAAAACCTCAGTAAGTAAAGAAAAAAAAAGATTAAGAAATCTTTGTTAGCTGTTGCACAGCTAAATATCAGAACAGACTACCGAAACAATATAGCTACAAAATCCATTTCAGTAAAGAGAAAACCTACTAGAAGTATATAACATACGAGTGATTGCCACTGTGAATATTTACAGATTGAAAGTAGGTTATTTTGGAATAAGTTATGGAATTAGGAAATGTTCCAGTCTCGTGATTCTGTTTACTTCAGGTTGTGAAAATCGCATCTTTTAAAACAAAACAATGAAAATCCTTGTACTAAAAAGTTGATTAAGTGATTAAAAATATAGCAACTTGAGTTCAAAATTCCATAGTTGTTCAGTTTTACATTACAAGTTCAATTCGAATGGCGTAAACTATTACACAAATTTACAAATTAGTTTATTTTTGGTTTTTGTACAGAGTTGAAGGTTATTTGAAGAATAAAGAAAACTAATGTTTGAACCACAACTGACCACACAGATAAAAAACGTGACAATTGGTTGTATCTGCCTGTCCTTTTACTATCTAAGAATGCTTAATTTACTCTTAGCAAGCTAATTAGATAAGCTGCAGTTTGGGTCTGCAGGAGCATGACAAAAAAAAACAACCAACAACAACTGGAAAGTAAGGAAGGACAAAGATGGTCCACTATTACTACGGCTTGTGTGACTAATAGGTTGCTAATATAAGCTATCATGTGGTATAATGAAATGCTTTTGAGATGAAAACAATATAGAAGACATTCTAGGCAAGCAAAGCTCGTAAACGTCTAGAGAGTAGTAGAGATATCGTAGAATAAAGATAAGTTCAGTTCTTCCCGTTGGTCCTGCTCAGTGGAGTACAATACCGGTTACCCAGTATCCATCAACATTTACAATAAAAGATTTATATTGTTGCTGGCTCTGCTAGTGAACGCTCCTTGATCTCAATTTCAGCAAGTAAACTAGGAAGGATAACGATGGCTGCCGAATCACAATCCTTCTGACTATCTTCTTCCCTGAATACCTACTCATTATTTTAAAATAAAACAACAGCACTGATGAAACCATAAATCAATCGAACTCCTGAGCTGTTGAATTATTTCTCAGAAGTCAGAATGACGTGTCTGCTTGTTTGGCACCAGTGCTGTGTAAATGCATATTACATCTATGGTGTGCATGCAGTGACCTTAGCAGACTTTTTTCTCATTCCTTCGCAGTTGTAGATCTGTTGTTCTAGTTTCGTGAATTTTGTAAAACCTATGACAGACATGAAGACACAGTTTTAGTCGGAATGGTCCAAATATAATGTAAACATGTCTGTTTGACCAATAGATTATCTCGATGAAGATCTGTGCTAACAGATCGAAACGTTGTCTCTAAATAGATGGCTCAAAAAATTTAACTCCTGTTAGATGACTTGTAATCATTCATTCAAAACTTCTTTGAAACAAAACAAATCTCGTGTATTTAAAATTCTAGTTGTTTCTAGTTGTTTGGTATGGCTGTTGAATAAAAATCATCTAGTTATCGACCTGTTTAATTACCTAAAATGTCTGACTCACAACAGAGAAAAATGTTTTTGTTTTTGTTGTTGTTTTACATTCTTGATTCACTCCTGTTTGTTGCATGAAGTTTGTATAAATGTGCCAATAAATATATATTCGTTCATGTTTCAAAGTTTTATAATCTATGTACAAAATTTGTTTTTGTAAAATACTGTCCTAAATATATATACGTTTTATTTTCATTGTTATCTATTTAAAATATTAACCTGTATTGTCGTAGTTGTTTTTTAGAGTAAAGCTACACAGTAAGCTATCTGTTCTATGTCCACCGCGAGTAATCGTAACCGGTATTTTATATGTAGTATGAAACTTAATGTGATTTTTCAGTTCAACTTTACCTTACTAAGCAGTTCCTTGGATATCTTACAATAAACTCATATGATCAAAATGGACTTTTAACTTGTAGTTTTCAAACTTACTACTTTACCTTACTACGCAGTTCCTTGGATATCTTACAATAAACTCCTATGTTCACAATGGACTTTTAACTTGTAGTTTTCAAACATAACCATGTTTTGACACCATTCTTTATGTGACTATATTTTTCAAACAACACTTACTAAAGTTTGTTGTTAGTGTACTAAATAGTAAAGCGTATTAAAACAATTCAAACACTTAAGGATCTCATGAAGAAGCAATGATACAAAGAAGAAGTTAAACTCTACTCTATTTTAGAAGTTTTAAAGACTGTAGAACATTTCTGTCGGTATTCCATTTTATAATTTTCCTTTTTTTATGAAACTAGTGACGTTTCCATGAAATAGTATGCTGGTTTATGATAGTTACAACACAAGACTTTTTGAGTCTACTATTTATTATGGATCACATGTTTAATATTTTAAATAAACTTTATTATATTTCAAATAAAAAGATAACTTTATATGAATTCAAATGAACTCTTCTCTACTTTCATTTTGTTTGTCTAAACATAAGCAATAGTTAATTAAGTATGCAGCTATAATTATTTAGAGGAATACAGAAAGGAAGCTCGAGCTCTGAAGATAAATCTTCCGAATGTCATGTATTTAAAGATACTTTCATTATTACAAACGTGTGCAGTCTCTTGAACAAATGGATGTGTTTAGTGTTAAGTGTGACACTCACATTTTTGTATTAGACCAAAATAAATTCTCTATATAGATAATCTCTTTGTACAATTTACTGATAAACAGATGGATTTCTTTAAGCACAGGAAGTGTTAGTAAAGAAATTAATGGGTATTAGCAGAGAAAGATTGAAACCATTAATAGCAAGTAATAATGAAAGGTTTGTGAAGATATAAAAGCACTCGTTATAACAAATAATAATTATATGTTCTTAATAGCGTTTGATCATCTTCAAATACCAACAGAGAATGTGCTTCACTTTATTATTCCCGACAAAGTCATGAACTCTCAGCTCAGAAAGGCTCATCTTTGGGTCCACATGAAATACCTCGAGAGTTATAGAAAGAGTGGTGTTACCGTTCACATAAATCAAGTGGTCCAGGGAACTGAATCCTATAGATTGTTACAGGTAAGTCAGTTCCTTGAGATAGGTTTTAAGGAACCTTACAAAGCTTTTTAAAATGTTCAGAAAATAGCTCAAAGTAAAATATTAATGTAGTTTTTAATCACATTTATTGATTTTGGACATGCTGTAAATAACGAACTAGCGTAAAATGTCAAAACTTTAGATGTAATTTTTTCACACCTAAAGCTATTCACTTACAATATTTATGAAGATATCTTTTATTTCAGCTATTATGTCTTCAATGATTTCAGACTTCGATCAGAAATACATGTACAATAAACAAACATAACAAGATCTTTTGAACAAAATAAAAACAAATCAAAAGTATACAAATACCGTTAGTATAAAATGGTTGTTGTTTTAAAGAAAAATAATGAATGTGAAATTCAACATTAAGAAACGACTCCTATGTATTATTTTTAATTTGTTTGGATAAATACAATACAGATAATATTATAGATAGGTATATTCGCTTAATTATTACTTGGAAATCTTTGCTTACGTTTACTTTGCTAAGATTACCAGAACGAACCATATATGTGTTTATTGCTTTAACCACACATAATATTTATTAATTTAAAGTGTATGCATATTCTTCCAGACCGGGAGTAGCCTAGTAGTTAACGTGTCGGGCTACTTATTGGAGGTCCGAGTTCGTGATGCCGCTGAACATTCTTCGTACTTTCAGTTTAAGGATGCGTTACGAAAATGATAGACAACCCCTATATTCGAGTTAAAGAGCTGGACAAAGCTTTTGCAGTGAGTTGTGTTGCTAGTTGGCTGTCTTTCATCTGGTCAGTAGTTTAAAATTAGACAGGGCTATACGTGAATCCTAGAGACCTCTGACCTAGGGTGCATAATTGAGTTTTGTTGTTAAGCACAAAACTACACATTGGGCTATATATATTTTTTGTCCAGCACAAGGATAGAAACCTCGGCTTTTAGCGTTTAAGCCTTTAGACTTGCCGCTAAGCCACCAGAGGCCGCGTGCATAAGGTGACGCTTAGGTTAAAAATTGAAAACATGTATTGTCCTGATTCTATGCAGTATCATATGTCTTTACTGAAGCTTTAAATGAAGAGTTTGTTCAACGTGAATCCTCCATTTTACTAAATTATAACACATATGCTTATGTCACTTTACAAATATAATTTTAAGTATATGAATACCAACCATTTGCCTTATAAGTATGTTGTTAATGTATTTTCTCTTTGCTCTTAGAATTCAGTTCAGTGTTTGTTTCTAGCATGTTTGATCATTTCTCCTGAAATTCTTCTAGTATTCAATACTGCAGTGTGTAAAGTATTGTAATTTAATGTCTGGTATTTCTATAGATTTTGGTTAAAAATATCAACCTGAGAAAACACCGAGGGCACTGGATCAAACTTAACATTCGTAAAGTCGTTTCGCATTGGATACACCATCCTAAAGAAAATCTTGGGTTGGTTGTTCAAATTGATGACAACATGGGCAACATCTTTCCTATTACCAATTCATCTGAGAATGATGATGAGTCTCACGTAAGTGTTTTTACGTGCTGTAAGCTCAATATAGTAAGTTAGATCACAATATATTAAGACATATACCACAATATATTTCATAACGGATGTGATATACGTTTATGTTTTTTCATATATTTATACATGTACAAGGTTGAGTACGTTATGTTATAATGATTTTGAACATGTAAATCAAGAAGCTTCGTGTAAACCACAACCAATTCAAAGTCATGGTGGAACGGAATGTAACAAAACTACGTTTTAATATTAGTTTGTTGTAACGTAAATAGTGTGATGCCACCGAAAACTGGTGGTTTTTGGGAAGGGTGTGTGACACCACAATCCGATACAAAATATTCATACACTCAGTTCATAAAGATGTGTTTAGATCGATGATTCAGAATTTCCAAGACGGAAATATCACTTGTATTTATTCGCATTTGAAAACAAAGGAATATGAATCAACTTGGGGAACCAAGATTACTCAGAAAAAGATTTGTAACAATTCGTGCTTCAGCAGTGGTAAGCAAAGTGCAGCGTCTTTTAACAGGTTAACACAAATGTCTCTGTTAAAAGCCGTCCATAATCAGTACGAAACATAATTAAGAAGAATCTCCTCCTGGAAAGGAGGCCAACAGGGTGTAGGTTGACCACGATAAGGTTTCCAGTCATAGTCCCCATTTAACCATCATATATTTCAAGCAGTAAGAAAATAAAATGAGTATTTATTCTGTTTCATATGAAGAATACCGCTTAAGTTCTGTGTATTTTGATGTGATCAGGCTGTTGAAACAGGTGCTAGAAACATGTCATCCTCGATCACTAAATGGCTTATGAAAAGTTAGCAGGGAGAAGCTGTGTACTGTGAATATGATACTTTTATAAAAGAGAGTTTGGCAATAAAAAATACGCTGCATGAAGATGCCTGGTCATCAGATGGAGCATGATTTCACATGGCAACACAGACTGTGACGGCCTGGTGAGGCTAAAAACCATTTTAATATAACATGTACTCAACCCTCTGTAAATAGACCTACATAAACATTCTAACATATGTACTAACTAATATAAAGTTTAACGGGAACAATAGCTCAAAATCGTACTGTTTTAAATATTTGTTAGTTATTCACATAATCTGTGGAATATTCAAAACTAGCTCATATACGCTATATTTTTTTAAATGACAAAAAAAAATTAAAACCCTTCTTAGTGCTAAAGTGTTCTTAATGTGAGGAGGGGGTGTTTATTAAATACTCACGAAATTAATAAGAAAATTATCATTATCACGAAGCTGCTCCGCGGACCACCTTCTGAGAACGTGTTAATTGGAACAGGGGTTCCAAACCTTTCTCACCACAACGCTCCTTAGAATATTCTACATTTTGACTGAGGTCCCCATCGAATGAATTTATATATACTAACTACCTTAACAGTATTGTGTGTTTCGTGTACTTGCTACGGCCCCGGGACACTTTTCTGCGGCTCCCGATTTGGGAATCCTTGACTTAGATTGTCGTCGCAATCTGTATCCCAAAACATTGGTAAGTAAAATAATGACCAACTGTATGACTTAGTGTAGCGATTTTTACCACCAAGATAGCAAGCACAACACTCCCGACTTTACGTTTAATTGAATCTCTTACTAAATTTCTTACTAAATTAAACAATCGTCGTCATTTCTACGTTAAAATTGTAGGAAAATTAAACAATCGTCGCACATGGCTTCAGTCCCCGAGTCTTTATTAAAATAACACATTTTCGGATCTTACTTTAAAATATAAGTCAAAATTTAGTGCTGTTTAGTTGAGGGGATCAAACGTCTGTGTTTTTATTAAAATAATAGCGAATATTTTTACAGATATATTTAATAAAAATAATAGAAACAACTACGTTCGTTTAGCTCATTTTGCCCGACTTCTTGGCCTCCAATAGGGTTACTTATAACAACAAGTAAATACTGATATTGGTGTTTCCAATTGTATATGCGTTCAATGAATGGATAGGTGTTTTTTACGAAAAAAAAAAGGTATCAAGTCAATGTATCCATCTTAGGACAACAGTATATTTTGGTTTAGTTTAGATTTAATGCCTTCATTAAAATGGTAAGTAATAATACAGAGCAATTTCGGTTGTTTCTACGGTTTATAGATCTCTTTCAATATGGGTGCAGTTATTTGACTCACTTACAACAATGTCTTGGTCTCCCAAAGTATGATACGCAAAATAAAATAATAATTATAAGTAACTGAGGTTTGTCTATATAAGATATAGAACTCCATTTGGAATTTTGCGGTTGTTGGTTTCATTTGCATAACTCTTTTAGCTCCTTAAAGTATTGATAAAAAACTTGGAACTGTTGGTTTGGTTATATCCATCTCCGCACTTTATATTCTTGTCTCACGTAAAACTGAAAAACTGTTCTGCATCAAATATTGAATTCAACTGGTGAATAACAAACAAGACTTTCGTCATAACGAACCAGAGTCGAATGCCGGCCACTGCCAACACAGAAAGTGGTCCTTCTCAGGACTTTCTTGAATATAGAAACAGATCATCAGCCGAAACATAGGATAAAAACTAGTTAGTAATTAGTGTGTGATTATAAAAAAGTTACTAATTAATAAGTAGACATGGGTGATTGTATAGACCATTAACGATGGAAATTACTGATTTTCGATCGTCACAACCTTACCGTAAGAAACTGAAGATGTATTTACTGAAACCAGCTCGTAGAATTCATATTTGGAAGAAATTAAATATACATATACATGTTTGAGTTCGTTGTATTTAACTTTTGCTCTCCATCAGTATTGTTGTTTAAAAGCAGTACTGTTATTGAATTTGGTCATTCAGATTTTGGATTTTATTAGAGAAATTAAGAAAAAATATTAGTTTTAATGTTTCCTACTTTTTTGCTTTAATAAATTAAGAATTTCAATGAGCGTTTGATTCAATGTAATCAACTCTTGTTAATCTCTACTAGGTGGGCTACAACATTCGACGGTTCACCTGAGGTATACAATTAGTTTACATAATAAACGCTAGATGGCTCTCAACGTGTTTCGAACAGTTTAAAGTTCTGCTTATTGTTGTGTTCAAATTATGTAGTTCGTACAATAACAATGAGGTTTTTTACGGCATCTAGTTTTAATATATCAAATTCTTGTATTTATGAAATACATTTCAGTGTAACTGGCGGAGATATATGTCTCTACATCTCTACGTACTCAATATTTGTGTTTGTTTTCATATTTAATGATAACTATATGCCCAAGAGTGTTACGTGTTACTAGCTCTACGGTTTGGTCTATCTAAGTCTTAGAGTGACTGTTAGCGATATAAGAGCCTACATTGTTTTTGTTTTATGTTTAGAATCTAATCTGTAGTAGTTACAAAGAGTGAGTGAAGGAAAAAATAAATGAAATAAAAAAATTGAAACTTGAAATGTAATTTTCTGAAACGACTAACTTTTTGTACTAATTTATCCACGTTACTTTCCAAGTTTCATTGCGGGAATAAACAAAATTAATTCTTCATGTTTTTACGTAGAGGTTTCTTCATTTCAACCTCTATAAAAGGCCTCTGAAAAAAGAAAAGTTTTTAATTTTTCACTTTTCAATAATGTGCATGGGCCGATAGATGCGTTTGGGTCGACTTGTCGAACTATGTGGGTGTGAGGATACCGCTGCAAAAATACAAACGGACATTCTCCACTGCAGTAATTGGCCTCGTATCTTTTTGGGGCAATAATCCAATCCCATTCAAACTCAATAAAGTCCACTGTGAGAGGGTAACGACAACATCTTTCCTCGGTGGAATTTAAGTCACATTCAAGACCATCTATGTTTCGTTTGGATCGAATCGTCAAAGTTCTATAAACTTGTTATTGAAAGTAAAGAAGATTGTATAACAATATATCAACCACTATATCTGTGATATCCAATGCCGACAAGGCCTTTCAATCAATACCAGTGCTCATCAGCGTGGCTGGGTTATAACAGTAGTGGTTGAAATGGTGTTCATATTAAAAGAAAGTGAATAGAAAATTTTCGGAAAGCCAGTCATTTCACAACGACAATTTTAGCATGCTACTAATAGGTTTGAGCATTATTGTATTTTTATTTTATTTTTAGCTAAAGCACTATTTACAGCCCTTACATTTTGTTTTCAAGATGATTTTAGTTTCCAGTCGATCTTCTCTCTCAGTATCATGGCAAAAAGGGACAATTAAGCTCACAAATAATATTCCTAAAGGCAAATGTACAGATAACACAATAAAAAATCAACCTATAAAGTTATATTCGTGACGATTGGCTTGCTGATGATACAACATAATTATCTTTACCCTAAGTTGTAAAAGTTTGAAATTTTTGTTGTTGTCTAACTATAATATATACTGTCACTCAGCGCTCGAATTGAGGGGAAACGGAGTGGAATGTTGTTCCCCTTGTTAACAGAAAAAAAACAACTGAAACTGACTGCCAAACGCCTGATTGTGAGAACACTCATTAGTCTGTAAGTAAATTTCAGGAGTTCCCCTTTTTAATTATTTTTTTTTTACAACTCATGTGTTTATGACTTGAGTTTCTTCTGTCATTATTAAGCTAAAAAGAGTAATAATCATAAAAACATAGTATGTTAAGGAGTTTCATTTAAGAAAGAACAGAAACAATTTCAGGCACTATCAGTTCACAATCATTTAATCAGATTGACAATATAAATTAAACAGATATTAATTAAACTGATTCTGTCACGTGGTCGTAAAATATGGTGCTCTTTCTTATTATCAATATGGCAAATTACCTATCTGTCCTATACAACGCTAAAATCCGGGATTCGATTCCTCGCAGTGGACGCAGCAGATAGCTCAGTGTGGCTTGCTATAAAAACAAACAAACAAACTGAAAATCTACTATTTTATCATTTGGGCTGACGTTGTTAATAAAGTGTGATAACACACTTCCTTAAAGTTTGGATAACACTCGTACTTTTTATCACTCTTTGTAATTGTAAATAAATGAGTATTTTAATTATTGAGTTTTGTGTGAAAAGGTGTCTTAAGTTTTGTGA